ATTAATGTATGTGAAAGTTTAACTGATGGAGCTGTGACAAATGATACAACTGGTCTAATAGGATAGTTCTCTTTGTGTAATTTTATTAAAGAATAAAGTTGTGGTGGTTGAGGGTTCATTTGTATTAGTTCGAATTTTTCTCTAGAATCAAAAATTGCTGTTGAATCCTGAATATTAAGTTTTAGTTCTTTTTGATATTTATCTGTTGGATCAAATTTGAGTATGCTATAATTATTGCTTGCTTGTAAAAATGAAAGAGTTTTGTTAATATAATCTATATTATTAATAGCAATTACTATCAGCACGAGTGAAAATGATATCATCCTGTTTTGCTTTATCCTTTATAGTTTTAATTAACTTACTGTTATTGTTATTACGTAAAAATTGTGTTTTAATTATATTCGCAGTATGATATTTGTAAGACAAAGTATTATATGAATCTTTTAAAGCGATTTATGTTTCTATTCTCAAAATTTCTAAGTTCGAAGTATTGTTGTGTTTAAACCCTTTTTCTATTAGAGATTGTTCTGGATCAGAGAAATTTGTGGTAGTTAAGTTAACAAATCTTTTAAAAAATGTATGATCCGATATTTTATTTGTGTTCTGTTCTGATTTTTGTTTAGGTATTATGGATTTTTTAAAAACTATACACCCTAATATTAAATTTACTATGGAAACAGAGAAGGATAATTCAATTAATTTTTTAGACTTAAATATTATTAAAATTAATAAAGGCCATAGTTTTGGCATATTTCATACACCATCACATACTGATATTACAATAAATAATACTTCATCTCATCCATACAAACAAAAGCTGGCAGCATACAACAGTATGATCCATAGATTAGTTAGAATCCCCCTTACCAAAGAGAACTTCACAAAAGAAATAAAAATCATTAAACAAATCGCAGTAAACAATAAATTCAAAGTTAGTAGACAACATTTTAGAGAAAAAACTTTTTAAACATGCTATTCAACAAGTTTATCCCATAATTAAAGATCAAAATTGCAGATATAAGAGTCTTACATATATAAGAGCTCCTAGTGAAAAGGTATCATCATATTTAAAAAACCAAAATATTAACGTAGCTTTTAAAACCAATAATACGCTTGGGAAGTATATTAAAAACAATAAGGGTAAAATTAATCCTAATACTAAATCGGGGGTATATAAATTAAATTGTGGTAGTTGTCCAAAACTGTATATTGGTCAAACAGGCCGTACTTTCAAAAAGCGCTATTCCGAACATTATAATAGCTATACAAAAAACAAAAATAATTATACTTACTCAAATCATATTTTAGCTGAAAATCATTCATTTACAGACAACTTTGAAATTTTACATATAGAAAAAAAGGGCAATAAACTAAACCATTTAGAAACACTTGAAATAAATAGATTTAAAAATTCAGATAACCTACTCAATGATCAATTAGATATTAATAACTCACCCTTATTAAATCTCTTTCCTAGTTTTCTGTGAGATAATCCCGATAATGTCACTATCTTATTGTTATTTGATTGTTATCATAATTACCTAAGTACCCTTATTTACTTTAAACAGTTAGTTTACTTTGTTATGTTATTGATGTTTTCTTAAATACTTTGTTTTGTTAAATTATTTCGCATAATATATTGGATACCGAATTGTAAATTAGTCACATTTGAAAAAGAAGTTGTACTTCGAAACATGTCATGTGTAGTGTTTTTAATTTTTATGTTTTATATTTTAGAATAAAAGTTTTGTGAAAATCTACCAAATTTGGTTTTACTCATTCAAGATAAAATGGATTAAATAATTTAATAGGAGACATCCGCAACGTGCTTCCATTACACATGGAAAAGCAGCCGCTATAAATGCTCTTTTCAGTGAAACTGGCAGTTATTCAAATTCATCAGAATGGCCAACCTCGGCGAATACACCCGCATCCTGAAGATAACGGTATAGGGTAAATCGAGGCTAGATGGCGCAGAAGGTGAGATGGCGCAATGGTTTTGCAGCGCCACCGCTAGTGTTAAAGATGAGCGGATGCGCTCTGATGTACTTCAGTTCATAGTAAACAAGCCGCCGCACCGTTTGTGTTCACCAGTTAAATGCCTATTTGAATATAGTTTTATACGTGATCCGGTGGGAACAAAACTATTTTTCCCATTTCCTTCTTAGCGCTAGTGAACTTTAAATTTAATAATAATTTTAGTCACGTTATCGTCTCAAGTAAGTAAAAACATTCTAGTTTTGTTGTATAACCTTAAAATTCCGCATTTTTCAAAACGTGTTTGGTTTGTGAGGTGCGCCATCTCTCCTCTCACAATGAGGATAGATGGTTCACATATTTTTGAGGTGAGATGGCTTATTAATATTTATTTTTCTTTTCAGTATGCCAACAAAATACAAGCGCACTGGAAGTTGTTCCAGGGCTAGTTGGACCGAACAACAGTTAGCCGCAGCCATTGAAGCCATTAATAAAAATATAATGGGAGTTAATGATGCTGCTCGAAATTTTGGGGTACCGGCAACCACTCTACGAAGAAGAAAATTGAGAAAAAATGTAAAGAAAGGTCCTCTTGGACCCTCCTCCACATTAGGCGAAGCAGCTGAGTCAAAGTTGGTCCAACATATCCTAAAACTTCAAAAACACGGTTTTGCTCCTACTCGAACCGACGCGCGACGTGCGAAGTATGGCTTTTAAATTGGCCGAACAGCTGGGCATTAAACATCGTTTTAATAAGGAATCGAGATTAGCTGGTTTTCCATGGCTCAAGTTATTTCTGCAGAGAAACCCAAGGCTGTCAGTGAGAAAAGCAGAAGGGGTCTCTATTAATCGATCCTTGGGTATGAACAAAAAAGATGTTGAGGATTATTTTCAGCTGCTAGGAAATATTCTGGCCGAAAACGATCTCATAAATAAACCTGGACATATTTATAATATGGACGAGACTGGTTTACAGCTTAATAATAGGCCAGGGCATGTCATTGTTCAGAAAGGATCTAAAAATATCGCAAGTATCAGCTCCGATGAAAAGGGAGAAACCATCACGGTTATAACCTGTTGTAACGCAGAAGGCGTTTTTATTCCCCCTACCTGCGTAATGAAAGGCAAAAATAAAAAACAGGATTTTGGAGGATGGGATGCCCCCAGGATCCTTGGTCTACATGTCGGTAAAATCAGCCTATGTCAACAGTGACATATTTTTTCAGTGACTTAGAGATCAGTTTGTTCCCAGAAAGCCGACTGGTGCAGTTTTGTTACTGCTTGATGGTCATTCTTCACACTGTAGTAACATTGAAATGCTAGAATACTGTGTTGACCACAACATCATATTGTTTTGCTTACCGAGTCATACGACAAAATTTTTACAACCGTTAGATATATGTTTTTTCAGATCGTTTAAATTAAACTACTACTCAGCTTGCAATTTATACATTAAAAATAACCCAGGACGAAAGATCACCAGATTACAATTTGGAAAATTACTTGCTGAAGGATGGAATAAATCTGCAACTGTAAATAATGGAACTTCGGCATTTAAGGCTACCGGAATTGTGCCATTTAACCCTTCTGCTATCCCAGATGACGCTTATTTGACTGAAAATACTATCATACTTGAGGTCTCTGATGCAGTTGAAAATAAAGAAAATCCTGATGGCAGTTCTCAAAGTTTCAACAAAGCTTTAGCTGATGACAATCAACAATCTGGCTGCAGTTGGCAGACTGTAGGTGAAACTGTACCAGAAAAACAAAATAAATCGCCTGCAGAAACTAATGCAAATATTCCTGTGAAATGTACCCCTGGAAAAATACTGGATATAATCTCACCTGTTCCGGTTGTTTCTGTTGCCGTTAATTCGGTTCGAGCCAGGAGCAAGCAGCTGGCAGCAATTTTAACCACAGAGGCAACAATTGGCGAAAAAAAGGAGAAGGCGACTAAGAAAACACAGAAAGAAAAAAAGACCAGTAAATCAGAACCAGTTTTTAAGAAATCAAAAGTGACCAAAAACAAAACTAAGAAAGCTTCCAAACTAGACTCATCTTCAGACGAAGATCTAGAAGCACAAACATTGGATGACTCTTCGGATGCTCGTTCAGATGATATGAACGATGCTGACGAGTCTTGCACAGGATGTGGTGAAACGTACTCCCAAACCACAAAAAATGACGACTGGGTTAATTGCTTACGTTGCTCCAAATGGTTCCATGATTCTTGTTCCAAGTTTGTTAACTTTTGCCATGACTGTGTGTTGTATGCAAAACAAAGTAACATTTTGGCCAAAATATCATTTTTTTTTTCAGTTGCACCATCTCACCTCAGCACTGTGGGGGAGATGGTTTTTGTTAACTATTTTAATTTTCTTTTACGAATTAAAAGTTTAATTTTTTTATGAATTTTAATACTTAAGACATGTTCCTAAACTCAATAAAGGTTCGTTATAAAAATTGACAGCAATTCTAATTCAACGTATGCAAATGTTAACATAAAATTTCAAAACCTGGGCCATCTATCCTCGATTTACCCTACTAGCGACAAATCGAGCAAATCCACGCATGAGCCTTCGAGATTTATCATCTCAGCTGAATATTACTAAGGATAAAATCAGAAGATGTTTCATCCGTCACAAAATCAAGCCTTATAAACCAAAGTTTTTACATACATTAAAAGAAGGCGATGAGAATAAAAGATTAGATTATTGTTATTGGGCCCAAGGTAATTTTTTAAATGACAGGCATTTTCTGGAAAAGATTATGTTTACAGATGAAGCTACATTTACCACCAATGGCGTTGTATCATATCAAAATTGTAGATACTGGGCCAGAAATAATCCCCAGTGGGTTATAAATTGTAAAGATCAATATTACCAGAAAGTCAATGTTTGGTGTGGAATTTTGGGGGACCAAATAATAGGTCCTCATTTTTCTTTAATGGTCGTTTAGTTAACTTTTTTGATGGGGAATTATGGGATGCTATAGAAAATCTTCCTCTCAATGTGCGACAGGATATGTATTTCCAGCTAGATGGTGCATCCATTCACAATTCAAGGATTGTTCGTCAATGGTTTAACCAAAAATTTCCTATGCCGTGGATAGGAAGAAACAGTCCTTTTGAACACTGGCCTCCGAGGTCCCCTGATATTACACCACTCGATTTTTATTTTTGGGGTCTGATAAAAAATAAAGTTTATAAAACAAGGCCCAGAAATCGAAATGAACTTTGTGCCAGAATAAGACAAGCCTGTCAAGAAATCAGCATCCCAGAACTTAGACGAGTATCCAGACATAATCGCAAAAGAATTGAAAAATGTATTCGAATAAATGAAGGACTAGTCGAGCGAGATAACATTTGATAAATTGTCATTTGTACTATGAAAATTATTGTTTTATTTTCTTAAGTTTAATCAGTTACCTACTAAAAATTATTGTTTTTTTAAAATAAAATAATTATTCGTTACTGAAGAATTTAAATTACATGAATTACACTAAACTGAAAGTCTAATCTGATTGACATTATTCCTTTCCATGACACACTAGTTTATCGAATAAAAAAAATCAACTTTTAATAATGTAATAATGAAAAAACTAAAAATACGAATTTAGACATGAAATTTGGTATGTGGGGTTACAATAATATTGGGAACAACTTTTTCAAATAACTTTTTTTGGTATCTCTAACGCGAAGAAAAATATCGAAAATTGACCCCGTTTGTGGATTCGCAGTAGGCCGCGTTTAAAATTTAAATTTCAGTTGAGTATCTTGAAAAATGTAAACCATCACCCTGTATGACTGTGCAAAATTTCAAATCTGTGTTTATTTAGATAGCCAAAATATAGGGGTGTCTTCATCTTAAATGCGACACACTGTATATGTATAGCTTAAGTGTTAAGACAAAAAGATTTATAATAACCTAAAAATTATGTAAAAGGTAAGTACATGTATTTTTCGTTTAGTTAAATTAACAAATACAATATAAAAAAAAGACATTTCTGATTATTAAAATTATAAAAGATTTAACTTTTTGGTCTACACATACAGTTTCTATACACTGGAATATCCCGTTATTAAATGCTTTTTAAAATGGTATTTTTGCATGAACAGTTTCGAACATATTTCCTATTTAAACGTTTTCCTCAGTTGTGAATTTTTAAGTGCAATTTTAAATATTCTTTTCGAGCAAACTGTTTCGAACATATTTCACACTCAAACTGTTTTTCTCTACTGTGAATTATTAAGTGCGCTTTTAAATATTCTTTTCGAGCAAACTTTTTGGAACATTTTTCGCACTTGAACGGTTTTTCTTCAGTGTGAATTTTCAAGTGCATTTTTAAACAGACTTTCCGAGAAAACTGTTTCGAACATATTTCACACTTAAACGGTTTTTCTCTACTGTGAATTATTAAGTGCGTTTTTAAATATTCTTTTCGAGCAAACTTTTTGGAACATTTTTCGCATTTGAACGGTTTTTCTCCAACTCCAGTGTGCGTTTCTAAGTGATTTTTAAAATGGCTATTCGAGATAAAACGTTTGGAACATATTTCGCACTTGAATGGTTTTTCCCCTGTGTGAATTTTCAAGTGCAATGTTAAACTGCTTTTTAGAGCAAACTGTTTCAAACATATAGCACACTTGAATGGATTTTTTCCAGTGTGATTTTTTAAGTGCTGTTTAAAATAACCTTTCTGGCTAAACTGTTTCGAACATATTTTACACTTAAATGTTTCTTCTCTGGTGTGAACATTTAAGTGTAATTCTAAACTATCTTTTCGAACAAACTCTTTGGAACATTTTTCGCACTTAAATGGTTTTTCTCCGGAGTGAATTTTTAAGTGCAATGTTAAACTAGTTTTCTGTGTAAACCGTTTTAAACATATTTTACACTTAAACGGTTTTTCTCCGGTGTGAATTATAAAATGCTGTTGTAAAAAATCTTTGCGGGCAAATTGTTTCGAACATATTTCACACTCGAATGCTTTTACTCCGGTGTGTAATTTTAAGTGTCTGGTTAAGGCACTTTTTCGGAAAAACTGTTTCGAACATAATTCACACTTAAAGGATTTTTCTCTAGTATTATGAATGTTTAAGTGCTCCTTTAAAGAGCCTTTTAAAGCAAACCGTTTCGAACATATTCCACAGTTGAACGATCTTTCTTCAGTGTGAATTTTTAAGTGGTTTCCCAGGTGACTTTTTTTAAAAAAATGTTTCGAACATATTTCACACTTAAACGGTTTTTCTCTTTCTCTAGTATGAATTTTTAAGTGAGTTTTCAAGTTTGATTTGTGAACAAACTGTTTTGAACATATTGCACACATGAACAGTCGTTCCCTAGTGTGAATTTTTAAGTGATTTTTCAAGTTTCCTTTTTTGACAAACTGTTTCGAACATATTGCACACATGAACAGTTGTTCCTTAGTGTGAATTTTTAAGTGCTTTTTCAAATTAGCTTTGTTAGCAAACTGCTTCATACATATTTGGCACTTGCACAAGATTCTATCAATGTGCATTTTAAAATGATCATTTAAATTTCTTTCGTTTGGGATTCTTTCAGAACCAATTTCACACTTTTTTTCATTGGAATATGACGCAATAGCTGCAGGTGAATCTCTCAATATAGATTTTGTATACCGACAATGTTTATATTGTGCAAATTTTCGCTTACAAAATTTTGTAACTTTCTTTACATAATGAATAGCGATAAAATGAGACAAAAATTGTGACTTGGTAAGAAAAAACCGGCCGCAATAGTAACAAGTTTCACAACATCTTCCAAACTGCACTTCGAACGGATTTTTTCTAGACGACCTGAAAGCTGAAACGAAAAGTATATTAATTTTAAAACGACATTACGGTAGACCGGGGATAAAAGTGCCACGGGGAGAAAGTGCCACTTGCCGCCATTTTTTAAATTTAAACGAAATACGCGCGAAGCCAACATTCCAAGATCAGGTCTATAATTATATATATTTTTAAGGTTTTTGGATAATTATTTTGAATAACTCATAAACTAGAGAACAACTTTATTCTAGAATAGCAGATTACAAAATAAGAATGTGATGATAATAATAATAATTATTATTTATTTACAAATAACGGTAAATACAATTTGAAATATTACAATATTATCTAGTAAATAAATAATAAAGCTAAAGTATATCTAGATCCTGTACAGCTGGCTAAAATATTTGAGTGTATATTAAAATATATTTATAATAATTAAAAGTTTTTTTTTTTTATTATATTTTGGTAACAGTTAACCTTTGTGACGACCAACTATAAGGAAAACCTGTCTGAAGTTGAGCGATTTAGGATCAACTGTAATACTGTATAACTTTTTAATAATTTTTTTTTTGTATATTTTTTTTTGTTTTAGAACAGTAATATTAAATAATAATAATAATAATAATAATAATAATAATAATAATAATAATAATAATAATAATAATAATAATAATAATAATAATAATAATAATAATAATAATAATAATAATAATAATAATAATAATAATAATAATAATAATAATAATAATAATAATAATAATAATAATAATAATAATAATAATAATAATAATAATAATAATAATAATAATAATAATAATAATAATAATAATAATAATAATAATAATAATAATAATAATAATAATAATAATAATAATAATAATAATAATAATAATAATAATAATAATAATAACAACACATTAAGAATAATGACAATAATAATTATAATAATAATAGTAATAATAATAATAATAATAATAATAATAATAATAATAATAATAATAATAATAAAAATAATAATACTAATAATACTAATAATAATAATAATAATAATAATAATAATAATAATGATAATAATAATATTGCATTAATAATAATAATAATAATAATTTTCAATCATTGCAAGTATAGTTTGGCGCGGAAATTGTAAAACCCATTTTTTTTATTAATTTTTTGTATAGATTTTTTGATTGATTTTGTTTTATTTCAATTGGCAATTTATTATATAGTTTAGGACCTATGTACCAAAAACTTCGTTGAGTATTGGATTTCAATACTTTGGGTAAGACATATGCATAACTTTTTGAACGGGTATTATAATTGTATTCATTTTTTTTTCAATTCGCCTTTATTGAAATGCTGCCTTATCAATCGATTCTGACAAAACAGTTGTCTAATATCAAATAATTTGCTCTCTTCGAATAGTTGCTGTGTTGGGTAAGTATATGGTTTTTCAATATAACTTTTATGAGATATTTTTGCGTATTATTAAGATTGTTTATATGGCATTCTAATGCCCCTCCCCAAGCTATGATCCCTTATTTAATATGTGATTCAGCAAGCCCATAATAGATCATTTTTAATTGTTCAAAATTCAATAGTTTTGATAAAAAGTTAAACCTAAATAATAAGGTTCTGAGTTTCTTTATTAAAAAATTAATATGTATATCCCATTTTAGGTGTTTGTCTATATATACCCCCATATATTTAATATTAGATGCAACACTAATGTCGACTAAATTTTTATTGACTCTAATTGAGATTTTATTGTAGTTAGGTGAGGTATTTTCATATGAGCAAAAAGGTATAAATAAAGTCTTGTTAAAATTGGCAGTAAGCAAGTAGTGGTGAAACCAATCAAAGATATGAGGGAGGTCGTTCTCAACTAATATTTTTAATGTATCCCAGTCTGAGCTCTCATAAATAATTGCGGTGTCGTCAGCAAAACTAATTATTTTCCCATTTGAATAAATTATTTAGATATATGTTAAACAATATTGGTCCTAGTACAGTTCCTTGTGGGACACCACATATAACATTTTTGTTTTCGCTGACCACATCATCAATTACAACAGATTGTTTTCTTTCTGTTAAATATGAACGAAGTAATTCATAGCTTTGACCTCTGAAACCAATATCGTGTAGTGTATCGATCATTTTTGTATGACTAACCGTATCGAATGCTTTTGTAAGGTCGATGAAGATGCATAGAGATGCCTTTTTTTTATCAATATTTTCATATATATTTTTTATCAATTGAGCTATTGCATCTTCTGTCGATCTTCCCTCCCTAAATCCATATTGTCTGTCGGAAATTATATCGTATTTGTTCAAAAACTGTGAGATACGTACCTTTAAAATTTTCTCATAAACCTTTGCGAAATTAGTTATTAATGAAATTGGTCTATAATTTGTCATTAAATCTTTTTTTCCTTTCTTAAATAATGGTTTTATGATTGTCGTTTTGAATGGCGTTGGAAAGATTCCTAATTGAAAAGATGTATTAATAATATATTTTAATGGTACAGCAACTTGACGTGAAATTTTTTTTAATGTTTCGGATTTTATACCATCAAT